TAACCCATAGTAAACATTAGGAAATGTATGTCATGTAAATATGCAAGCAACGTCAATTGCTGATATCTCTATGTACATATATATATATAATACATTTATGATGCTAAACAATAGTAAATACCACTTACCAGTAGTACCCGCACGAGGCGGGGCGGAAGTTGCCTTAAAGATATATATAAGACCTTTCTCATCTATAGAACTTGCCTGCGCCGTGCGCCAGCCAAGCCGGTGCGTGCGTGCACTCTGCGGAACTGATGTCTTGTTTCACATGTCACATTTGAAGCTCCATTTCGCACTTCGCGCTTCTCACTGCAGTCTTCACACTCCACACTACACACTTCACACTCCACACTTCACACTGCACTCTTAAGACTCCACACTTCACAATTCACACTCCACACTTCACACTCCGCACTTCACACGTCACACTGCACTCTTCGCACTCCAAACTTCACACTTCACAGTCCACACTTCACACTTCACAGTCCACACTTCTCACTTCTCACTGTTTTCTTCACACTCCAAACTTCACACTTCACACTGCACCCTTCACGCCCCACACTTCACACTGCACTCTTCACACTCCACACTTCATCTCATCTTGAGCCCTTCGCCTTATCCCAGCTCATCTCTTCTCATCTCATCTCTTCTCATATGTCATCTAAGCTTTCATGAATCACTTCCCAGTACTACTAATCACTGTCGCAGCCTTGATGCACCCACTCCAATACGATTTACGATCTTCAGCTGCAAAAGACAATAGTATTACGCATGCAGCCGCTGCTCCAAGCAACCCTGACGCAGCCATCCCAATGCGATCTGCAAAGACTGAGTTGCAAAACACAATAGAACTACGCGCAACGGCGTCGGAAATTGCAGCTCCAAAACCGGATCTCGACGCCAAAGCGACAAAAAGACGATTTTGAAGCGCTTTTTAAAAGGAATGTTTAAAGGAAAATTACTAGCGCCAAAGTTGAGAAAATCTGCTGACAAATCACTATCGCAGCGTGGATGCAGCCATTCCAATACGATTTACGATGCTCAGCTGCAAAAGGCAATAGTATTACGCATGCAGCCACTTTACAAGGAAAAACACAAGGTTTCGTGCTCCGGCTTCCTCCCCAAAACATAGCCCATGCAACATTCATGCAGCCATTCCAATGCAATCTGCAACCAGAGATTCAAGAACCGCATAGAACTACGCACACAGGAACAACCACTCGTTGCAAAACGCATAGGAGGAACAATTCGCGCATGAAACGACCCCAGCCGCACCCGCCGCACAGACGAGGTACCTTTCTTCGCCGGCTGCAGCCACTTTTCACGGAAAAACACAAGGTTTCGTGCTCCGGCTTCCTCCCCAAAACATAACCCATGCAACATTCATGCAGCCATTCCAATGCGATCATGCAACCAGAGATTCAAGAACCGCATAGAACTACGCACACAGGAACAACCACTCGTTGCAAAACACATAGGAGGAACAATTCGCGCATGAAACGACCCCAGCCGCACCCGCCGCACAGACGAGGTACCTTTCATCGCCGGCTGCAGCCACTTTACACGGAAAAACACTCCTCCCCAAAACATAACCCATGCAACATTCATGCAGCCATTCCAATGCGATCATGCAACCAGAGATTCAAGAACCGCATAGAACTACGCACACAGGAACAACCACTCGTTGCAAAACACATAGGAGGAACAATTCGCGACAGAAACGACCCCAGCCGCAACCGCCGCACAGACGAGGTACCTTTCATCGCCGGCTGCAGCCACTGTACACGGAAAAACACAAGGTTTCGTGCTCCGGCTTCCTCCCCAAAACATAGCCCATGCAACATTCATGCAGCCATTCCAATGCAATCTGCAACCAGAGATTCGAGAACCGCATAGAACTACGCACACAGGAACAACCACTCGTTGCAAAACACATAGGAGGAACAATTCGCGCATGAAACGACCCCAGCCGCACCCGCCGCACAGACGAGGTACCTTTCATCGCCGGCTGCAGCCACGTTACACGGAAAAACACAAGGTTTCGTGCTCCGGCTTCCTCCCCAAAACATATCCCATGCAACATTCATGCAGCCATTCCAATGCGATCATGCAACCAGAGATTCAAGAACCGCATAGAACTACGCACACAGGAACAACCACTCGTTGCAAAACACATAGGAGGAACAATTCGCGCATGAACCGACCCCAGCCGCACCCGCCGCACAGACGAGGTACCTTTCTTCGCCGGCTGCAGCCACTTTACACGGAAAAACACAAGGTTTCGTGCTCCGGCTTCCTCCCCAAAACATAGCCCATGCAACATTCATGCAGCCATTGCAATGCGATCAGCAACCACAGCTTCAAGAAACGCATAGAACTACGCACACAGGAACAACCACTCTTTGCAAAACACATAGGAGGAACAATTCGCGACAGAAACGACCCCATCCCCGCACCCGCCGACAGACGAGGTACCTTTCAATCGCCGCTGCAGCCAACTTTACACGGAAAAACACAAGGTTTCGTGCTCCGGCTTCCTCCCCAAAACATATCCCATGCAACATTCATGCAGCCATTCCAATGCGATCATGCACCAGCGATTCAAGAACCGCATAGACCTACGCACACAGGAACAACCACTCGTTGCAAAACACATAGGAGGAACAATTCGCGCATGAAACGACCCCAGCCGCACCCGCCGCACAGACGAGGCACCTTTCATCGCCGGCTGCAGCCACTTTACACGGAAAAACACAAGGTTTCGTGCTCCGGCTTCCTCCCCAAAACATATCCCATGCAATATTCATGCAGCCATTCCAATGCGATCATGCACCAGAGATTCAAGAACCGCATAAAACTACGCACACAGGAACAACCACTCGTTGCAAAACACATAGGAGGAACAATTCGCGATAAACGACCCCAGCCGCACCCGCCGCACAGACGAGGTACCTTTCATCGCCGCCTACAGCCACTTTACACGGAAAAACACAAGGTTTCGTGCTCCAGCTTCCTCCCCAACACAAAGCCCATGCAGCCATTCCAATGCCGCACCACTTCCCTTCGTCACCACTTCCCATCGTCACCACTTCCCTCCGTCACCACTTCCCTTCGTCACCACTTCCCATCGTCACCACTTCCCTTCGTCCACTTCCCATCGTCACCACTTCCCTTCGTCACCACTTCCCTTCGTCACCACTTCCCTTCGTCACCACTTCCCATCGTCACCACTTCCCTTCGTCACCACTTCCCATCGTCACCACTTCCCTTCGTCACCACTTCCCTTCGTCACCACTTCCCTTCGTCACCACTTCCCATCGTCACCACTTCCCTTCGTCACCACTTCCCATCGTCACCACTTCCCTTCGTCACCACTTCCCATCGTTACCACTTCCCTTCGTCACCACTTCCCTTCGTCACCACTTCCCTTCGTCACCCTTCATGTACTCTCACACCACCCTTCATGTAAAGTCTCACACCACCCTTCATCAAGGTCAAGTCTCAATCGCGCACCACCCTTCATCATTTCAAGTCTCAGAATTCTATTTGTTCGTAACACGGAAGTATTGCTTCCCAACTTCCTTTGAACATAAAATATAAATTAAATATTAATAATAATAATAAACAAAAAAAAATAATATTAAAAAAACAAAAATATATTTATAAAAAATTAGAAATATTATAAATAAATTTCGATTATAAAATAAATATATATATATATATAATTTTAAGGGACAAATAAAATAAAATAATTTATTTTATTAAAATATATATATTATAATAATATTTTTACTTAAAATATATTTAATAATTACAATTATTATTTTATAATTATATTATACCATATTACATCCAATAATTCTAAATAAAATAAGAAAAAAGGGAAAGAAGGTATCCAAGCCTCAACCACCTTTCGGTCCATCTATCAGAATAATTCGTCCTTCCTATTAAAATACCAAATATAAATACGATAATTTATATATTTATAAATGGTGGTACAGACCTTTCGCAAATCTTATGATGCGTTTTCGCGGCCTTTCGCCACTGCAGCAAAACACACACATCCATATCTGCAGATGTCACTTGGATACTAAAATCCTTGCATGGGTCTTAGGACGACTCCCGTTTGGGAAATAAAAATCGCAAAATATTGCTATGATATGAATCTGATTTATCCATTTTATATACTATCCAAATTCCTCCATGTCCATTATCCATCATTATACAATATTTCAATCAAAGGATCCCCGTTGGGCGTTCAATTTAGGGTGCAGCGCCAGGTTTTCATCCCAAACACCTAGTTTAAAAACCTGGAGGGCCAAGGTATGAGCAAAAAAAAGTGAAACGATGAAAAGCCGACCTCACCCCCATTTCTGAAAAGGAAAAATCAAGGTACAAAAAAACAGGCTCCAGCTCCTGGTTTTCATCCAGGAGCCCCAAACGGGGATATCAAGGGGGAATATATCGCCCACCATCCGTCGATATTATTCGTCCTTCGTCCCCGGTCCCCATCCTCCGTCCTTCGCCTTCCGTCCTCCGTCCTCTGTCCTCCGCTTTCCACCCTTCCGTCCTCCGTCCAGCGCCTTCGATCCTCCGTCCTCTTTCCTTTGTCCTCCGTCTCCATCCTCCGTCCTCTGGCCTCCCTCGTCATCTGTCGTCGGTCCTCTGTCGTCCCTCCTCCCCATCTTCTGTCTTCTGTTATCTGCCGTTATGTAGATATAGATATGAAAAGCATTGGCTTTTCAAACGCTATATTCGGAATTATTCGGAACCACTGCATCCACTTGCCGGAACAGGAATCGAAGGACCGTCTGCCCGTGGCGCAGTGGCAAGTATCCCGTAAGAAGGTTTCCCCGTAACAAGGTTTTAAGAAATATTGAACTTATTTATCTTTTTGTTGGAACAATTTTGAAAATATGTTTTCATCTGATTCATATACTACACACCCTCTTGGAATTGTATCATATTTGAAGGTTGTGATTTGTGATGATAGTTTTTTTTTTTCCTGTCAAGTATCCCATTCAAGGACGACTCTGTGTTCTCTATTGCTTCCGAAGGATCCAGTTGGACCTGCCCAGTGCTTGAAGGAAGGCGTGCAATGAGGGAAGGAAATGCGGCCTTTGGATGGCCTTTGGTAGCTTTATTTGGTAACTTCAAAGAAAACCACTGTTCTTGACGGGCTACAGTGCGTCTCAGAAATAATGTTCTAGTGGTTCTAGTGGACACACATGGGTGATGTTCAACTGATAGCTTAAAGTGCCACAGGGCACCAAATCCAGCACCCGCACACACCTGGAAGAGCTTCGAGTGAAGGAGGTCGCAAAGCAGGTGGTATCAGTGGGATAGAGGGCAATTCACCCCATATCACTTCTGGAGATGAGGTCTTCCACGGCAAAGTCTCAGGTTGCACAGGTAGTCCTTGGCCGCCACCGCCCCTAGGTTCTGGTAGCTCTGGCCACCTCAAGGGTAACAAGCCAAGCAATGCAGAGTTGTCGGCATGAATCTGCATGCAAGCATACGTGGACATGTGTATAGTACACCTGAAGCAAATGCAAGGTGTCCACATAACACAAGATGTAACCCACATAATATCATAATACATCCATGATCGCTTATTAGCATACGGATGTAATTATGCGGTATATGCGCAACTCAACTCAACTCAACTCACGTAAACTGTATGCATTGAAGCGACCGTGAAGCTTCCATTTGCACAGGTGGTTCAGGTGGTGGTTCAACTGGCGCTGGTTCAACTGGCGCATCACCCGACTGGGCATCAGCCGTGACAGTGGAAGGGTCTTTGGGAACGCTGCTTTCAGGCGGATCTTCCCATCTGCCCGCCTTCCTCGGGGCCACACCATTTTCTTCAAAAGGTGTGCGCAGATGAAAACCTTTGAGATACATACCCAAACCTACTCTTTTGAAAGGGATTTTCTAGGCGAACCACAACTTCCTAGGCGTCCTAGTCCCCTAGCCAATTTGGAAACACACACTTTTCCAGCCAGCTCCTCTCTCGCTCATGCTGCCGTCTCTCATCCCTGGACATGGACAGGCGATGGATCAGATTCGCCACTCTCGGTATCACCACGGGATTTTCCGCCACCAGTGGTTCCACTGGCAGGCCATCCGCGGGAGGAGTTGCATCTACTACTGAGGCAACCTCTGCCAACACATCAGGTGGCTCTTGTCCAGCGAAGCTGGGTGAAGCTGGGGCCACAGTTGGTGGAAGACTGTCCGCCACAATGACATGTTCTGGGTGGCTTTCATTGAAAACTGGCTGTGCTATCTTCAAGTCCATGTCTGCCCGGGGGTCTTGCTGTTTCTTTTCGCGCTCTACATAAAAGAGCTCCCACAGCAGTTTCTCCACTTCCAGCTCAGTCTCAACCACATCATCCACCGAGAGCCCTGCGGCACTTTCACTTCTCTCGCTGAAGTCCAGGGAAGAATCTAAGACGCGAAGCGCTTGTCGTCGCTTGTAGTCCAACTTGTGCCTAGTGGAGATGCCACCCAGAGATCCAGAAGCTTGTTGTATCAACTGTCAGCACCAGTATAGATTAAGGATATCTATAGGATATTCTCAAGATTTTTGAAGCTATATTATATGCAAGGATGGTGGTGGATGAGCTGGCCCAAGCCTGATGTTCATTCAAAATTCAACCAGGACAATGCTTTTCCCAAACATGAAATGGATATAAATGGATCACTCTCTGGTGATTTTGTGACCAGGGTGCAGCTGCCCCTTGGAACTCCAAATCGCGGTTGAAAGCTGCTGGCATTGCGCGTCCAGCTTCAACAACTCATCGTAGACTTTCTGAGCCGCTCCATGGTCATCTGTTTGAACCTCAGAAATCTCAGAATCGATCGGAAACAAACATGGACGAAACATGCCAAAAACCCAAACAAGAGTCCCAGAATCAAATTTTGGATCGAAGTACAAATTTCAAGGATTTCTCGGACACCGGGGGTCAGCAAGACGAGATCTCAGGCGCCTGAACATTTGAACAATCCGATCAGATCCCTCAGGCACCTTCCAGTGCAGTCAAAAAACCCTGGAAAGTTGCTGGGACCAAAGCTCTTTGCGTTGATGTCCAGCTGCCATGATCATGTTCCGCTGTCGTTCCTGACACACCTGGGCTCGACCTTTGAAGCCCTTGATGCGATCCACAAGTTGACGCGCTTCCTCGGAGGTTGGGCACCCAGGGAAGAGAGCAGACCTTTGGGCGGTCCGTAGGGTAAAATGTTGGAAAACATCAGACCTCTGGAAAACCCAGGGTGCAACAAAAAGTGGAAAGAATCATTAATCACTTTGAAACATGGCGGCTGGTTCTAGAAAATATATTGCAAGATCGTTCCCACATCCAAATGCCCCTACATGTAATTGTATGCCGACCCAAACAGCAAAAAAAATCAACCCTGGTTGAAACGCAGCGAAAAACGAACCAATAGTTACTTGAATCCTTTAGTTCATTCTCGGCCGGTTTACAAATGTGGCATGCATAATTTCAATATCTAGACTTTTGGTTCTTGAACACCTTAAGCCAAAAACAGGTTTGAACCCCAAAATAAGACGGGAGATGATTATCATTGGGTTTACCTTGGGCCAATGTCCAATCCACAAACAGCCTTATTAAGTTTGACATCGCTAAAACGATTCAAAAGGACGCAAAATATGATTTACCTGCCCAAAGTAGGGTACCCCACATACCAATGGCCGGTTCACTTATTTGTGGGATGACTTGGGAGCAAAGCACCATTTTGGACACAACCAAATTTTAAATGTGCCAAACCTGAGAAGAAGGAAATGAAAACCAGCTCAGCTCTCATAATGAAAACCCCTGCGCACAGCAAATTGCCTGCGTGTAAGGCCTTCAACATTGAAATCCTCCAATTGTAGCGTAGCCCTAACTGCACAAAAAAAATCGAGGCAGACATCCTGAAACCCTGTTGGTGGCTTACGTATTTTCAGCTCCTCGAGCAATATATGTTTCTCCATCTATTTGTTTACATGGCTAGGAAGCGGACTGAGGGGGAATCGATGTCCAACTGCAGAAAATTTCCTGCGCATAACACCTTCAAAATTGGAGTTCTTCTGTTGGAGCAAACCCGTAAGCAGCACGACTGAGAGCATTTAACTCCCTGCGCAGAACACCTTCAAAATTGGAATTCTCCAGTTGCAGCAACCCCGCAAACATCACGACTGCGCGTAACATCTTCAAAATTGGAATTCTCCAGTGGTCGCCTTCCTAAAACTCTGTTCGTCAGCTTCGTATCTCTAGCCTTTTAAGCAACATGCCTTGCTGTATCGATTTCTCTGACCTGCTACTTAGCTCACCCAGGAAAACCCAGACCGAGGGGGAATCGATGCCCTAACACAGCAAATTTCCAGCGCGTAACACCTGCAAAATTGAAATTCCTGAAAGGAACACGCCGTTCTTGGCTTAACATAAGCTCAACATGCCTCGAATATGGGCCCAACATAACCTCCCATAACATGGATCAACATACGCCCAACATAGGCGGCCAACATGGTCCCGACATGATCCAAAAACGGTGTGTTCCTTTTGGGCCGGGTAAAGGCTTAAAAGGAGCACGCCGTTCTTGGCTTAACATAAGCTCAACATGGCTCGAATATGGCCCAACAAAGCCTCCAAGAGCCTAACATGGATCAACATAGGCCCAACATGGGCTCCATATACGGCCAACATGGTCCCGACATGATCCAAAACGACGTGTTCCTTTTAGGCCGGGTAAAGGCTTAAAAGGAACACGCCGTTCTTGGCTTAACATAAGCTCAACATGGCCTGAATATGGCCCCAACACAGCCTCCAAGAGCCTAAACATAGGCCCAGCATAGGCTCCATATACGGCCAACATGGCCCCGACATGATCCAAAACGACGTGTTCCTTTTGGGCCGTGTAAAGGCTTAAAAGGAACACGCCGTTCATGGCCCCAACATAGCCTCCAAGAGCCTAACATGGATCAACATAGGCCGAACATAAGCTCCATATACGAAGGTGGCACTGAGCCTCCCAGGTGGCACGGCCACGTGCAACATGGCAACGGGGGTAGTCACAACGCAACAAGGTTTGTTAGCGCTGCTGACTCCTGTCACTACGCGTACAACCAGTAAGTCAGAAAATACGCCAGAAGAATTTCTCAATCTATGGCAATCCATCTGTCTACCATACTACCATCCTATATCAATCTATCTCTCACTCTATCCACTGGTCCATGTCTCCATCTCACATCAAGCGCGCTAGCTGTCATCCGCTTGTAGCCAAAGAGAGATGACGTGACGATCAACTTTCAGCACAGGCATTGCTCTATGTCAGGTTGTCATTGCAGCCTGCTGCCGGCAAAGCTTCCATGACCTATAGCCTATAGCCATCTAGCTATCTATCTTGCAACCTATCTGTCCAGCCTTCCGTCAAGCCATCCATGCATAAACCTAACTTTCTCTCTCTCTCTCTCTCTCTCTTGCTCTCTCTCTCTCTCTTGCTCTCTCTCTCTCTCTCTCTTGCTCTCTCTCTCTCTCTCTCTCTCTCTTTCTCCATGCCCATATCTCTGCATCTATGTAGCCATGCGCAATCTATCCGTCCATCCATGCACCCATGTCATCCAGCGAGACAAAGCTTCCATGATCTGTAGCCATCTAGCTATCTAGCTATCTATCTATCAACCTATCTATCTATCAACCTATCTGTCCAGCCTTCCGTCAAGCCATCCATGCATCAACCTAACTTTCACACACACACACTCTCTCTCTCTCTCCCTCTCTTTTTCCATCCCCCATCTCTGCATCCACGTAGCTATGCGCAATCTATCCGTCCATCCATCCATCCATCCATGTCATCCAGCTAGTCAGCCGTCGCGACCGTTCGTTCGTTCTATCTATCTATCTATCTAATTAACTAACTAACTAAATAAATAACTAACTAACTAACTAACCAACCAACCAACCACCCTATCTAACCTATCTAACCTATCTAACCTATCTAACCTATCTAACCTATCTAACCTATCTAACCTATCTAACCTATCTAACCTATCTAATCTATCTAATCTATCTAATCTACCTAATCTATCTATCTATCTGTCTATCTGTCTGTCTGTCTATCTACCTACCCAGCTCTCTCTCTCTCTCTCTTTCTCTCTCCATCAATCAATCAATCAATCAATCTATCCATCTATTTATCCATCTACCTATCTATCTATCTATCTATCTAGTTGGCTATTTATCTATCTATCGATCTATCCATCTATCCATCCAGCCATCCATCCATCCATCTATATATATCTCTCTATCACACCTCTCTTTCTAGCTGTCATCCAGCTATCTGCATCCATGTATTACCTGCCTATCCATTGATCTATCTATTTGTCTATTTGTCTACCCATTTTACCCCAAATTAAACCCCAATATCACGGACCAGGAATATGGCCACAGCATAGCTTCCAAGAGCCTAACATGGATCAACATAGGCCCAACATAGTGTTCCTATTGGGCCGGGTAAAGGCTTCAAAGGAACACGCCGTTCTTGGCTTAACAATCTATCTATCTATCTAACTATCTAGCTAGCTAGCTAGCTATCTATCCATGTATCTATCTATCTATCGATCGATCTATCTAGCTATCAGTTTATCTATCTATCTACCTAGCTATCTATCTGTCTGTCTGTCTGTCTGTCTATCTATCTATCTATCTACTCTCCATCTCTCACCTCCATCCACCGCCGCACGCCAACTATTCAAACATCAGCTTATCTCTCGGTCCACACATAATCTATGTGTCTGCTTTTCCTCTATCCGTCTGTCTAGCTATTCTACCTATTTTTCTATTCTCCATCTATCTCTAAACCTGTTGACGTCTCCAGGCTTATCGCTCTGTTCATACAGACTCTCTTTGTCTACCCGGTTGTCTACCTGGTTACCTCCAATAATCACGGCCCGGGGACCCAAGAATCACGGACCGTTACCCTGCAAAACTCCCAAAACCGACCCAAAACACCAGCTGAGGCTGCAAAAATGGGCCCCGCTAACCTCTCACTACGTTCGCAAACAACAACGAGTCAGCCTGTCCGGCTGGCTTTCGTAATATGCCAAACTCTATCAATTCATATTGTATAAATCGAATCAAAACTATATTACATATGCATGATAAAACATGATAACTATAGCACTCCCCCTTTTTGCCAGTGACTATCCCACTTAACGCTGGACCAACCCACAACATCACCTCCCGGCCCCGGCCCTGACCGTCCTGAGACATGGCCGCCCAGCGCCGGGTGCACGCCGCTTCGGCCCGTTGGAGCTCGGCAATGGCCCGTTCGCCCCGTAGCAGTGCGCCTGGGGGTTGCTGGTGGCACTACCTGTTACCAGCAGGAAGATATGATACGATATATATATAGAGAGAGAGAGAGGGGATTCAGCAGCAATGATATATAATGATCGAAGGAAGTTTAGAAGTCAAACATCCGACAATATGGACAGATGAAAAGCAGAGCAGGGAAGAGGCAGAGAGAAGAGAAAGATTAGAAGAAAGAAGAGTAGAGAAAGAGTAAGAAGAAAGAAGATGCAGATGCGAGAAAAGGTAAGAAAGTCGCGAAACACTCTGTTTTTCCAATGGTTTGGGGCTCCGGAAGGTCGAAAAGTAGGCTCGCTAAAGCGGCGGGTGCGGAGCCAGCTGGCCAGATGAGAGATGAAAAATTGCACGCCGTTGTGGCGCGAAGCACATTTCCAAGTCAAAATGTACAAAACACACATAAACACACCACGTTCAGACCACTTTTGGAAGTTGAGATGTCGAAAGAGTGCACGCCGTTGTGGCGCGAAGCACATTTCCAAGTCAAAATGTACAAAACACTAGGGGTGCGGACCACTTTTGGCAGTTGAGATGTCGAAAAAGTGCACGCCGTTGTGGCGCGAAGCACATTTCGAAGTGAAAATGTACAAAACACACCATGTACGGACCATTTTTGGAGGTTCAGATGTCGAAAAAGTGCACGCCGTTGTGGCGCGAAGCACATTTCGAAGTCAAAATGTACAAAACACAAGGGTTTTGGACCACTTTTGGAGGTTCAGATGTCGCTTCGCTTCGCTTCACTACACTACATTACACTACATTCCACTACACTACATTACACTCCACTACACTACATTACACAACACTACAACTACAGCTACACAACTACATTCCACTAAACTCCACCACACTAAATTACATTACACTACACTACATTACACTACACTACACTCCACTACACTACATTACACTACATTAAACTACACTACACTACCTTGCACTACACTTCACTACATTACACTACACTCCACTACACTACAACTACAACTACGACTACACAACTACACTCCACTACACTCCACTACATTACATTACACTACACTACATTACACTACACTACACTCCACTACACTACATTACAATACATTACACTACACTACCTTCCACTACACTTCACTACATTACACTACACTACACTACATTCCACTACACTCCGCTACACTACACTACATTACACTACACTACATTACACTGAATGACACTGCACCACAGATAAACAGGTAGACAGATAGACAGATAGACAGGCAGACAGACAGATAGACAGACAGACAGATAGATAGACAGATAGATAGATAGACAGATAGACAGGTAGACAGATAGACAGATAGATAGATAAATAGCTAGATAGATAGGTAGTCAGAGAAAGAGAGAGAAAGAGTGAGAGAGATCAACCACCTTTCGATCCATCAGTGCCTTCGCTCTGCCATCCCTGATTCACAACAACCAAGCTCTCCTATAGGTTTCCTATTTTTGAAACTTCCGCCACCGCCTTGTGCGGTACTACTGGTATATGATAATATATGATGGACATCAACGATGTCGTTGAAATAGATCATGTTTAGATTTACTGGCAATAGACAATATGTATAGGATATATAGGGGTCCCCAAGCAAATAGGTCCATGTATATATATATATATATATTATATAAAATAATATATATATATATATTATATGTGTGTGTGTTGTGTTCTCCCAGGACTTTATAGATAATACTCATCATGACTCATCATGTCATTTCCAGGTGTCCAACTTGTTCTATTATAGGGTTGCTGGGAGATACAACCTATCAACAATGTCAGGAACCCAACCGATTTCTTGGGATCCAAGCAGCAATCAATGGCGGTTCATCAACAATGCATGGCGATGTAATCCATATATGGCGGCTAAAACGTGCCAAAACCATCAGGAATGTAACAGACCATACCCAAATAACAAATAAACAACTAGAAATGGGAGGTACTGATACCCAATGCACATGGATGGACATGGACCATCCCCAATTAGGTCAATGGCCTTGGGCTAACAGCATTGGAAACCGATGGCTTGTTACATCTTGTTATCCTTCTTCGAGAAAAAAGGCATATCGTCAAGAAAGCGCCATGCAACTGTTCATCATGATAGTTATTCAGCTCTTCAACAGCTTGACAATGCTTGACAATGCTTGACAATGCTTGACATATCTGTCAGCCCCCGCCTAGTACTTCAGCTGATTCCTCTTTATTCAGCACCTCCTGGCGACTCACCGCACTTCGCCAACGCGCCAACAGCTCCATGGTCCTTTCCCGCGGGTCCACAGGATCCCGTGGGGCGAACTGCTCGAAATCCACCAGGCGCTGGCGCAAAGTGGCAGCCGCTGCTTCCGGCTGCGAGATCTTGGGAAGTTGGTTGGACAAAGTCCTGAGCTGGGGAGCCGCCAAGTGCATTTAAGGTGGTGTATAGAGCCAGAAATGAGTCAAGGAATCAAGGGCAAAAAGATTCTGGGTATACATCTAATCTATGTTCAATTGTGTGTATGTAGGGGGGACGCTGCTTATATAATAATATGTGCACTATAATGTCACTATAATGCACTATACTATCAGAGTTAAAGAGTCTACAGTCTATTTACACACACATAAATATATATATATATATTATATAATATGCTCCACCAGCCATGACTTCAGGAACTGCTCTCCTGGCATTCTCCAACAACTGCGCCAGCTGGGCTTTTGGGCCATTTTCACCCGCCGTCTGACGCTGCAAGTTCTCCAATCGCTGGACTGTCTGTGCTAGCGCAGGCACCACGGTGTCAAGTCCCGCAACTGCACGCTGGCTGCCATCCTGGGAAGGCGTCACTTTCATGGTCCGCTCTGGTGGCGAAATCCTTGGGCCAACATTGAACGGGAAGGACACATATATTCGGGTCACATTCTGCATATGCCGGTCGCAAATCGTGTGCCCCCACATCAACCTGCCAAGGGCGCAACAAAAAACACTGACGAAAAAAACTAACTTCAACTGATTTCAGATATGTGTCTCTTCATCATCCTACTTTGTTTCTTTAGCCAACACTGACAGGTGCGCTTTAGCTTCCCCAGATCGCAGCTGCATTTTTCACCCGACAGGTCGCATCACTGCGCCTTTCTCCAGCTTTCGGTGGCCTCCAGGGCTGCCAAGATAGGAACTGGCCCAGCCCGGCATGGTGTAAGCAGCTCCAAGATGCGGATGTGTCTGATAGGGTACATACCCCCTAGATGGTTCACACCCCTACATGGATCTAAATGGTAACTTTAATGGCGGAAAAATTTATTGATGATCAACAATGAACCATAGGGTTTCGAAATGACCAATGTTCAAACAAACCCATTGGCCTGAACGAAGCTGAGGAGCCTTTTCAACCTGCCCAGTTGAATGAAAGTGGGAGAGTCAGAGTGCATGGGAAACTTTGAAAACGGCAACCAGTTCTGGCACCTATATAACTTACTAAGCAGGAGCTGCATGGCGGGTGGTATTTGGGAATTTGACCCCTGCAACGCAATGCGCCCCAAGAATCACAGCATAAATTGCATTGCACAGCAACATTCATTTTAAAAAAATAGAAATAGTTGTCTCATGGGCGCACCCTTGAATTGCGTTCTTTTGCGAATCGTTGTCCTTAGGCTCATGGAACCAAGCAAATCCAGCTCAGGCAGTTTGTGCTGGCACAATTTTTCTGCCCTCATACCTCCATTACCTACTAGTACTGGATAATTCACTGGACAATGGTGTAAGAACATGTAAGAACCACATCGTGAACTTCCGGCCGGGGCCCGGGCCAAGATGGAAGGGGTCTCTTTGACTTTCCGCAATTTCTGACCCCACATTCTGTTGCCTCTTCCGCGGTCACAGCACCAAAGGAATGGCCAAGCTTGCAAGAAGCTGCAAGTGAAACAAACGGGGCCTAGTGTGCATCGGTCTCAGCAAAAAAACATGCTGTTGTGGCAACAAGCATTCAAGTATTCAACTGTGTTGCATCCACCGCAGCACAGGCATTGCCAGCCTGGTTGCGGTCCGTCACTTGAAAGAAACTCTCCACCACCGATCGGCCACTTGGAATTGCCAATCGTCAGCTCAAGGTAGGCCTGCCAAATCAATCCCCGTCCCAACACTTTCGATGGCACAACATGGTATTGATTAGGACCTGGATTCTCAAGCAGCCTACTTGATTACATGATCATTACATGTGCATGTGTCTATTCCATCTCATATGTTTATGACTCAATCGCGCAATGACGTGATGAACATCACTTTCACACTTTCGAATTTCCAAGATCAATAAACAAAGAATCAAATTGGAACCCCCGAGCACTGACGGACGCGCCTGCTTCCTTTTTAATCACTGCTCAGGGCATGGGGAGAGCAGTTAAGTCTGGATCTATTGAATGCTGAAAAGCAAAAACTGAGAGATCATGGGTGGATAGAGCTCAGCAATTCATCGAACTTCACAGCTTATACGCAGAGTCTTTCGCAGAACAGGTTAAAGCAAGAAAGTTAATGAACCACAAAATAGAGCTCAGTCACAGACCCCATCAGACTGACGCACAGGCAAAATAGGTCAGGAAATGCGTCAGATTACTGACCAAAACATCTAATCCAAAAGCCGAGGAGGCCAAACCACACCCTGAGCCACGCGAAGTAACCCAGGGTGGGCGGGATGGGCTTTTCGAGAGAGATGATGCCTGGAGCTGATCACGTACTTCGCGCCAAAATGGCCAACGATCGGACTGGCATCCTTGGTGATCACTCCAGGTGTGAATCCGTCTGATCAAATAAATAAAGAATAAATAAGAAATCAAAGTGTGAACATGCAACGTAAGAGTCCTACACCTATCCCAGACCTACCTAGCCGATGATATGTGAACGACTCAATCGCGCAATGTGTGAACGACTCAATCGCGCAATGACGTGATGAACATCACTTTCACACTTTCGAATTTCCAAGATCAATAAACAAAGAATCAAATTGGAACCCCCGAGCACTGACGGACGCGCCTGCTTCCTTTTTGATCACTGCTCAGGGCATGGGGAGAGCAGTTAAGTCTGGATCTATTGAATGCTGAAAAGCAAAAACTGAGAGATCATGGGTGGATAGAGCTCAGCAATTCATCGAACTTCACAGCTTATACGCAGAGTCTTTCGCAGACCAGGTTAAAGCAAGAAAGTTAATGAACCACAAAATAGAGCTCAGTCACAGACCCAGGCCCTCCACTCACTGAAAGAGCGACGGCGGCCACAAGACATTAACCGTCTCCCATCCAATGCTTTCGCCAATGAACATCTTGTCTCTCGACGGCCAATCAGCAGGATTGGCATCAGTTGAAATTCGATCGATAAACACTCGAACCCTCAACTGAAAAGCAAGGTCCCAAAAGACCGAAATGAGTTCACAAAGATCTTCGCGACTAGAGTATCCCTTGATAAGGGAGCCTTCGACTGCTTCAGAGTCAATGAGTAACAAGATATCAGCTTCTCGCAGTCGATCGGCAAAAGTCTCTAGAGCCAGGACTGCAGCAATCATTTCAACTGGAACAATTTGAGTCTCACGCTGGAGCCAGCGTTTCTTGACTCGTTCAGGAATGACTGCTGTGAACTGTCTAGGCCTACCTATCCTACGATCAAAAAGAACAGCGCCAATGCGATCAGGCTCGCGCTGATTCGATCTCGGATCTGGTGTGAAACCGTCAGTGAAAACAACGGCATCCACGAGCTTCTCTGAAACAGTTTCAATTGGCCTAGGTGGTCCATGCAAAACGAGCCTACGCCAATGATTCAGAGCTTTCTTCAGAGCAGGGTCTAGTTTAAACTCATGACCTACAGGAAAACGCAGATACTGCCTCTCAGAAATAACTCTCAGAAAAGCACGACCGACTTTTCCCCAAAGTTGAGAAGAGCCAAACATCAGCTTCCCTTTGAGCTTGCCGGCAGAGCCTGGATCCAGAAGCCCTGAAGTAAGGATGGCGTCAATCTCATTGGCGATCTCCTCTTTGCGATCGGCTTTGATCTCCAGCTGCATGGCCGATAGGTTGTAGGTGACTCCCAAAATCGTAGGCGCCTCGGACAGTTGCAGCTTCTTCTGATCAAAACGAGCACCAAGCCAAAAATGGACGCTCTCGGCCACGAGGCGAGCGCTCTCCACCGTGGACTTCGGCTCGAACCCGTACTTGTCATCATAGAAGCTGAAGGCAACCAATCCAAACAACGACACCAGGAACTCGTTGATAGCAGCCGAACGGCGATTGTAGTTATAGACTGCCGAGACGAGCCCAAAGGAGTGGCCGACCATAATAAAGAAATTTGGAGCACCAGACTTGGGGTTCTTGAGGCAGATGACTGAGAACTTGCGGTGATCAGGACGAATAGCCACCTGTCGGTATGCCTTCCGCTCATCGAGCACCCAGCCTGCCAATTCTTCATCTGGCTTGATCGACTTCAACATCCTCAGGGCCGCCACATTGGTGTCCGTCGAGGGGAGCTGAAGCTTCTCAGTGATCTTTGTGACCTGGTTGATCATGTTTGTAGTGGCACTATCGCAACCCCTGACCTTGTTCTTTTGAACGACTTCAAATCTCTGGGTTGGGATCCAATCTTCACATCCAAGGATGTCAGAAACTTGAGCTTCATGCGAAAAAGGACCTAAGCACGAGCACTCATGCACATCCTCGAGTGAGGCCTCCCAAATTTTTTGAAGGTTCTCTGTGACAGGGACATGAGCGACCCGCTGAATGATCTTGCGTCTGATTGCCCAGGCCCTACCAAGCGCTTCCCGAACGGGGATATCCTTCTGAGGCTTATCATAGGCTGGCCAACGGCCTGTGCGAGCGATCTCGCCCACAATGGGAAAACCTTCCAAGAGCAGCTGAGGCAAAGCGCGGTCCACTGATTGGCACGCATCGAGCATGGCTGCATACAAGGCGACATGGCAAACCTGACCAAGAACTGGTGGTTCGTGATCCGCCCCGCCAAGAAGGAGCCGCCTCAAGGGAGCATCTGGCAACTGGCGAATGGCTTGCACAGATTGTGGCAGCAATTCGACTGCGATCTGTGACCAACGGCGGAGCAAATGCCCTCGATGTTGAACGACTTCATGCGCCGGTCGCCTGAGATCACCTAAGGCTTTCTCGTCAGGGGCTGACAAAGGAGCCGCCAAAGTGAAAGGATGGATCACATGGAGAGCAGCCTCAATGGCTTGACCAGGTTCCATTTCGATGTGCAAGAGCGGCTTTGCTGCACCACGCTTGAGCTGATAACCGGCCCACTGCGCACGTTGGGCGGAGCTCATTTGTCGATGGCCCAGCCACGGCTTGCAGGATCCCAGTTGCCGCTTCCGGTCGGAAGCAGGCGTAACCAACTGAAAGGACGCCTGAAGATGTTGAAACGGATCCTGCCAGAGAGAATGCACCACCAAGGCGAACGCCGCACACAACGCCCAAGGGTAGACCTGCGCTGCTTTGGTCTTGAACACGCGCTTGCCCGTTTCTGGGTCGATGACCTTGCCCTTGAGCTTGATGTGGCCATGACCGCCAGGGCAAGTGATTGCCAAAGGATCGAAAAGCTCGTTGGAGCACTCCAGTCGAGTGGGCTTGCGAGAGGGAGCCCCAAATGCGCATTGTTCGAGGTCAATGGCCAGAGCCCGAGCATGGAAAATCAAATTATCCATCAAATAAGTGACCCACATCAGGCTCAAAAGAGGATTTTCGATAGAAAAATCACCACCATGATCGAAAACAATGACACAAGCCTCACAAGTATGACCTAAAAACAGGTTGCCAAGCTGAACCAAGCACCAATTGTCAAGACTCAGATCCGGCAATCCCATGGGGTACTCCAATGAGCGCAGAGGTGGTGGACCTCCGTCATCTTTGCGAGCAGAAGAAAAAGTGTTGCAAGGCGTGCCGCAGTGCAGGTAGAACACCACCCCTTCGCGCAGAACCCGCAGCACACGCTGCCACACTTGAGCATCGACCACATCTGAAGCTTCTCTGACCATTTCGGAGAGCACAATGTCAATGGGCGGCAGCACGGGGACTCCAGTGAGCTGAACAGCTTCCGTGATCCCTGCAGTGCCCGAAAAGAGCTCCAAAAAGAAACGCCCTTGTTTCCGCAAGGAGGGCAAATGTGACAAAATTGTGGCCCAAGACCCAGCAAAGGAACCTTCGACTGACGAAGGGCTCGAGCTGCACTCAGCAGAGCTGAGAGAGCCGTCATTGCTGCCTTTCGCTAGGCCCAGAACTGGGCGAGGAGCCGCAGCCCCCGCACGGGGGGTTGTTCAGTGGTTACCGTGCCAAGGGTGGTCTTTTCCACACTCGACACAGCTGTGTTTCTGCTTACACTGATCTCCAAAGCGGCACCCCAGCGAGCAGTTGAAGAAAGGGCAGCGTTTGGGGCCACCATACTTGAACGAGGTGATTTTCTGCCACTCTGCCGGGGGCACGCGAGCATCGCGAGACGGCTTCTTGCTGTCTGGCTTGTCACGATCAGAGTGCTTTGCTAGAACTGCTTTGGCCTGCTGAAGTTGAACTTTTTGTCGAGCACGCCGATTGCGATTCTTCTTGGCCTTGGCTGTGCTTGGTGGAGAGGGTGGTGAGGTCGAACGAGCTCGCTTCTTGGGCGGTGTCGTAGGGGCGGATGTCGCCGCCTGCTTGAACTTGTCCAGTTCCGCACTCGAGCGAGCATCATTATAGAACTGTTTGTGGTTGGTGAGCACTTCCAAGAGGGCTGCAGAGAAGGTGCTGAACCTCTTCCGCTGGTCCGAGCTCACCCGATGGACTTTCTTCCTGATCAGCGAGTCCGCTGCCAGGAGCAGAGCAAGGCCACGGTTCTCATGCCGCCACTCTTCCAGTTCGGCCAAATATTTGAGAGGGCCGGCCTTGAAGGAGAACTCACAAATGTTGAGGTACTCCAAGGTGATGAAGAACGCATGAAGCTTATCCATGACCTGGCTCTCTGAACTGGCGGTCACGGGCTGGTCGATCGTCACCACACGCAGCAGATCTTCCGCGTTCTTGGAGAGCCCGGACTTCTGAGCGATCTGCTCGTTGCGTGTCCTGATCTCACCCACTTCGTAGAAGTGAACAAAACCGTG